ATAGATCAGCCAGGTGATAACGCCCGCAGGCGGCGAATGCCCGACTCCCGGCAGCTAGGATAAGTCCATAAGGGCAAATTATCACGTCGGCGACCTGCGCCCGCATTGATGTCCAAACATGCTACCCCAAAGAACACCTGGGAGATTAGAGTGTGTGAATAGCTGTTATTTGTGCAACTTCTCTGGTAACAGACCGTGTCTCCGACGAATGACCACTACGATACCGACGGTGAGCGTTTTCCAGACGGCGGTCAAGGCTAAATTACATGCCAGGTGCTGAAGCACGCATGGGGGCTCCAAGTCACGGTTTCCCTCCTTTACACGTCAGACGGAATTGCGACTATGTTTCAAGGCAAAACTACTGCTCTTTTTAATGGGGGTTGCTATGCCTAGGGTCCCTAACCTCTATCTTTCAACTGAAAACCGAACAGAAAGACCTAGATCGCACCGTCAGTAGGCACTGACTGAGATAAGCTGGAAAGTATAAGCGCTAGGAAATTCCAAAAGAGGGGCAGCTGGTGATAGCAGACTGTCCCCCGACCCCAAACTGTCGGTCTTGGTTCACAAGACTGCGCTCATGAGTCCCACCGGCCTGAGGATCAGAGGGAACAAAAACACCGTGGTAAAACAAGGCACTAACTTTTTTTTTGCAAACAAATGGTATTTCTGAGAAGTATAAGGCCATGAAGAGTAGGGTGGGGGGGCGAAGAAAGTATTAGGGAATAGCACTGTAAACCACCCGGACGAAAAGTATCACAGAGAACCCAGTCGCGCGGCGCGGTGGCTGGTAGACCCGGCATTTAGCTATTTGTACACGCAGTCGGTCGCAATGTCGGTAGAAACGGCAAACTCGGGGAGGAAATAAGGAGGGAAACGAGAGAGAAAAAGAAAAAAGTGGAGGTTTGTGAACATTTGTGGCACCGTTGTCCGTGAACCGGTTCATTTGGTGGAGTAGACGCGATAGTAGAGCATCTTTGACCGCCAGAGAGAGTAAGTGTTGTCAAATTTGAGCAAGTATGTTCCGTTGCCGGGATAGGCATGCGACCCACAGTACACCTCCGTGTTGCTGGATCGGCGGTAGATGGGGATGACCTCCTCAACGAAAACTTTGCACGGAGTTTGCGACTGGTCAGGAGGAGGTGCTGTTTGAAAAAAAGAAGAGGAGTAAGTTTGAGCTCAGAAAAACAGGAGTTAGGCTTCGAATAAGTAAATAAGAAATCACAGTGGGGAACATCCACACCAGATAGCAAAATTACGGCCGAATAATGACTCACAGGATGCGTCAAGAGGCTGGGATGAGCCCTCCATAATTTTCCAGGAAGCTTTTTCACCGGGCGCCGGACTGGATGGCTTTACCCATTCAAAAAAGAGACCAAATCCAATATCGTAGTTGTCTGTGGCAAATTCCCAGACAATACAGTTGCCCGAGGGCACAACAGGGACACGAATCTGCAAAAAAGGAGAACGAAAGGGGGAGTCAGAATAGACGAACACCACAGTACC